TGGGAACCAACAACATAATATCCCCACCAAATGGACGAGGCCTCTATGATTATTATTTTGGCAAGAGAACGTCTAGATGGTGGCCAAAAAGGAGCTCATAGAATATGAATATGTTCACATCAAGTGCTTCAATTGAAGCACAAACCATATCACTAGTTTCCTTTTTGTTCTTAATGTTTAATTTAGGTCTTAGTGCTAAGAACAAGTAGTCCACAAAGCAAAGCATGATCAGACCGAATATAATAATGGCTTGAAAAAACAAATCAAAAGAGCCTGTGTAATAATGGCTTCATACTGACCCACCACGAAGACTGGCAGGTTAGTAAAACAGTGTTTCATCCACCACAAGTTAAATCAGAGATTGGCAGAGAGTGCCAATGCAAGTAGTAGTGTATCCATTGGTCAGAAAAAGTTCAATGGGCAGAGTGGTTGCAGATAAGAGTCCACATGCAAAGACCAACATATCTGATGCAATGTCTTGGAAGAGATGGAAGAATGTGAATTGTGAGTTAAATATTCTAGTGACATCCTGATGTTTAATTTTACAAGGATCCAAAGTCAATAAACTTTTTGGTCGGTGATTTTTTAACAAGTATTTGAGGAAGGAAAAACACAAATTATACAGTGGAAGAAAAAAATAATTTTAAAACATCTTATGGTCATAGAAAAATCCTATATCTTGAAATTAATACATCAGCTTGAAGATAACTATACTTGCGTTCTTCTAGTGAATGGTATACATAAGATAGAAAAGAAAATAAATTTCGAAAGTCAAAAAATAAATGGAGAAATTGAAAGATGAGGCTATATAATGATTATTTATCTCCATATTTTAAACCTTGTATCCTCACCATTTTTCAACTTTAAAAGCTTTAAATTATATCATTAAACTTTAAATTTAGTTACCACAAAATATAGGATGTAAAACTTTATTTGGATAGCTATGACTTCAAATTAATGTTAAATTATAATTGTTGTTAACCTGCTAAATCATAATGAAGAGGACTTTTTATCTTTATTGGTAAGAAACTGAAGTTCTAGATGGTGACCTTCAATCGGAGTTAATGGCGAAGGCTTTGCATAATAAATTTAAAAGCTAAAGGTAATCAACGACAAAATTCCTCTTGTTGATTGACAAATTATGAAAGGTTTGGACAAGTACAAATATCAATAGCAAGGTCCAGATGAACAAAGTGCATGCTGTCATGTTCATATTGCTAGTGCCAATACAGGTATGATGAATGTCAGCAGTCATAATCAGTCAACAAAAGCAATTAAAAAATGGTTGCAGCAGAAGAATTCCTTATCATACCACAATTACCATCCAAATTCATTATCAATCTCACCTAAAAGATTGCTAAATGCATCATGTGTATCAGTTGAATGCTAAAATTATCATGGACATTAGCTCATGTCTTAGGATGCAAACTAGAAGCTAATTATCATGTTAATTAGAAAATAAAACTTTCAGGTGGTATATTTCTCTTTCATGATACATAAATAAAAGGTCTACCGTAGAAAAGCATAGAAAACCTCCGAACAGAGGAAAAGAGATCATGAAAAAGGGAACCAAAGAATCATCGGAATGTGGCTGCAGTTATTGTGCGTGAAAAAGGACCAGAACCCACTAAGAGATGATCCAATGCTCACGTTTTTTAATTTCACTCTAATTTCCATCGGTAATAGTGGAAACGTCAAATAACCCTTCACAGGAACTATTTTTCTTGATGTCATGATCTCAACACGGGCCCCAAAATCCCACCCTCGAGAAACTTTATTGAGTTGCATTAGTCAAACATGACTATTTCAATGATTGAGATTCATGATTTAAATTTCACAAGAAAAATTCAAAGATGCAAGATACTATTTGTCTAATTGCCTCTTGATACCTCATGATTTGGGAATCTGAAGAGGACCGTCAATTTTGCTTCACTAACTTCTCCATTCTTTCTTCCACTACTCCATACAATTGCAATCCCTCACGTTTTCGTGACATCCAACGCACATGCCGCTTTTCATTCATTTCGAATCCTGACCATTACTGTTCGTTCATATCTCAAAAATAAGAAAGATTCATGCGCGAAAATTAACAACCGTAAAAACCTCACCTCACAAACTGTATTCTAACGAATTGACGCAGCATTGCGGAGCGTTTGGGCCAGATATTCCATCAATAGCCTGCAAATTTCGTAGAAATTTCAATATGAATAATGGCATCTCATCTAAACTTCCTAAATTTTTCATTAAACCATATGTATTTCCACGATTGTTCATCTTCATGATTACCGATTACTATTTTCCCTCGTAGAGAGATAGAGCACGAACCTTTGGCGCCAAAAGAATGCTCAGAGACTCTTCAATGGCGGAACGAACCGTCCAAGAGGAAGAAGCTAATTGAGCAAATAATAAAATATCATTTAAATTTACAAAAATCAAAGCTTTATTTTCATCCTTTAATTTTTACCATTTACCAATAATAATAATAATTAATAATAATCGTTTGACCCAGAATCTTTCTGAATCGAGTCCGGGCTCGCGTCGTTGCGGGGAGCACCTCAGTATACGATCGTGCGCAATAACTATAAGTCCTATTACACCTAAAGCCAACTTCAATTCACCAAACCAAGGTTCATCTCGTGTAGTAATCGTGGACTCGTACACGGATATTGAGTAGACGTTTGATGTATCAAACTCGACCCTATCTTTCGGAACATGTATTCTCATCCGTGTCGCAACTGATTCGGTAAGCTACGTGTACAATGCACGAAAAATTACTTTCTTAACAAAAAATATAACGTCTTAATCAATGCTCAAATAATTACTTTATTGATACAATAACTTGTGTCCTTAACGACACTTTAATAAGAGACGTTCGTTTACTCAATGGGGTCAGGGCTCTACAGGAACACGCCCGGGACGAGATGAAAAAGCTATGTTTAAACAAGGAATAGAAGAATAATGAGAGATTTCTCCCCGTTAGTTATATGAGAAAATTCTACTGCTAGCGCAGTTGAAAATGTTCGTTTCTGGTCGAGAGAGGTAACTAGTCCGGAAATATCAATGTGCGGCTCACACGTGTGAGAATGCCTATTTTTATTTTTATGCAAACTTTATGAGATTTTTATTTATTTAACTTTAATAATAAAAAAAAGGATTTTCCCCCCTTTATTTATTTATTTATTTATTTATTGCTCTCTGTTTGGGCTTCTGGACTGCGGCCCATTTAACTTAACTGTATGCTAAGCATTGGGCCTAGCATCATCAAACCTTCAAGCCCATCAACGCCTCTGGGACGAAGCGCTTTCTCAAGCCGAATTTAAAATAGTTGTTTTTCTTTTATTATTAATATTATTTTGTCGGCAAGCTGTTTTTATTTTATAATTATTATTCAAAACAAAACAAAAAATGGAGCATAAATATGTCTGAATAACTGTTTTTAAAACTCATTTTATAATATATAAAATAAATTTATTTATTCAATTTTAAAATATTTTGTTTTAAATCCAACAAATTTCTGGTTAAAATATATATATATATATATATATATATTTTTTTTTTTTTTAATATTTATCTTTCCAAAATTAATCTCGAACCTTACTTAAATTAGTATTAAAAATAAATAATCGAAGCTTTAAGGTATTAGTTAATTTCATAAGAATAGAATCCTTCATCGGGCACGGGTGATCTTTGAGATAGGGTTTTGTCACTTTTGAATATCTTACATGATTAGTATGATCCTACGTAACCTAGTTATAACTCTAATACATAAAATGAAACCCATCAATTATGCTCGATAAAAACGAATAACATCAATAAAACCCTAATTTTCGTTAAAAGAAAAAACGACCCTTCGCCATCAACGACCTCCAAAGAATAAGAGGGTCCGCTTCCACCGCCCGAGGTTGCAAATGGATTGGTTATAAATTGACTTGAAAAATTAAATTCTATTTTTATTACAAAAATCTAATAATCAGTACATTAAATAAATAAATATATATATATATATATATATAAAGAAAAAAGAAAAAAGAAAAAGGCGTTTTTTATTTTTTATTTTTATATTTTTTAAGAGATAATTGTTTTTAAAAAATTTAAAATCACAAAAAATAATTTTTAACGGAAGAAAAAAAAGCAGAAACTTTTATTAAACGTGAATCATAAGCGATTCCAATATATAAAAGACAAAAAAACATTAAATACAATGACTACAAAAGTGGTTAATTTAAAATTAAAAAAAAAAAAGCAAAAATTAATTTTAAATGGTAAAATATTAGGTCGAAAACGTTTTTTTAATAATTAATTTTTTATTAAATCGACAAATAACAACCTCCCAAATCATCATCGTTTAGAAGTAAATCATATATTATTTATAAGTTATAATTATAATACGTATTAATATATCTGTCCAATTGCATTTATTAAATTATATTTTAATTTTCCTTTAGACCTTTTATCCATTATATTTCATTTATCCGACTAAATTATTATATAAAAAAGGGACAATTTTATTTTTGAATAATATTTTTAGATTTAGTTTTAAAATATTTTCCTATTTTGTAATAATTTTGTTATTAAAAATTTTAAAATATTTGATTTAATAATGTTTTTAACTTTTTAATTAAAAAGCCCAATGTGTGATTTCAAAACATTTTTTTAGAAGAAAATAAAAATTCAAAACCATAAAATAAAAAAAAGCCAGATTTACTTCTCCACGCGCTACTCCGCGAGTGCACCAACACCTCTCCGCCGCCCGCCACATATATTCCAAAAGTAAAACCACCCCAGGGCGTTAAATTCCGCCGTAACATACACATTCAGCAGACGTGGCAAGATGCGATTTGCCGTACAGATTATCTCCCATGGACCCGCCCGTAGACGGCAGTCGCGCCACTTGATTCACGCGCCATCCGACGCGCGTGGAAAGAACTTATCTCCGTCCATCGAAATGGACCTCAGCCTCCTCTCTCTCTCATATTTATTTTCTCTCTCCGAAGCACAGAAACCAGTTCGCGTTTTATTTTCTTCTTCTTCTTCTTCTTCTTCTTCTTCTTCTTCTTCTATATATACTGTCTTCGTCGTTGTCTCGGCTTTCAATTCTGAATTTCTCGCCATGAAAGCGTAGCCTTGCCATAATCCAGGTACAGTTCTTCTTTCTTACGAGTATAATTTACGAGTATTTGCGTTTTATACTGTATTGAGTACTCGTAGATTGTTTCGTGGTGGTTCGTTTTTAGTAATTTTTTCACGTTTGATTCTCTATCGTATATGGATTGAAGAAACTCGAGGACCTATCTCATGAGTTCATAGATACAATATGGTTTCGCTTCGTAAAGGCAGAAGAAATTTCACGCCGGTTTTTGAATTTTGTTCTTCTGTGTTTATTTTGTTCGATTTTTGTCTCAGTGTTAGCGAGAGCTCTTGAGTAGATTACCTTTAATTTGTGAGATCACATTGAGATAATCTCGGAGAACGTATTTTATTGAAGTTGTTTGTTTGTTTGCAATCCAGTCTTTTTCTTGTTCTCTTGGGGATGTTCTTTTGCTGCTTGTATCTGAGGTTTCTGGAGTCTTTTAATATTTAAGTCTAGAGTGGAGCTACTTTCTAAGTCTGTTAATGTGGGAACGTGTAGTTGTTTCGATTCTTCCTTTGGGTTCAAAATATGGATCTGGATATGATTGCGGTGAACTGAGTTTGGAGTACTGTTGCTTATCTCTTCCTTTGCTTTTAAGGGATATTTCTTTTAAAAATGTATGTGGAGATCTTTGTATCGTGTTCCTTGATTAATTTGGATTATTTGAAACGCTGCTTTTATCTCTAAATTTTGTGTTTTCCCACTTGACTGAACATGATTTGTTATGGTAAGTGTTGACAAAAATTTCTGTGTTCTTCTGAAATAGCAACTTCAGAATTCGATCTGGTTTTTCTTTTGCATTGGTTTTTGCACTTGGAATTTGTTTATTGGAAATCCTTTTTCTTTGGTTAATTACTTGGGTGGATCTAATTGGTTGCTAATGAACGTATGTCTGTATTTGGATACTCTTTCATACTTGACAAAATCTTGCAAGGTTAATGCTTCTTGATATGATAATTATAGAATTAGTAAAGATGAAAAGATATGCTCAAGTGGTTCGCATGTTGTGAATGGCTTTTGCAGATGGACGTTGTTCAAATAAAAAACCAAGGTACTTGCGGCAAGGATATGTCAGATGGGCAGTCTGTTTCTCCAGAAATTTCATGTACATGGGATGACTTTGGAGAACCCGAGGCTCTTCCTCGAATTGGGGACGAATACCAGGCAATAATCCCCCCTCTTGTGGTCAAATCAGATGATTTTGGGCTCTTGAAAATTCAAGCTGGTGGTTTACATGATATTTACGTTGGATTTCCTGCACCAGTAGCATATGTTTATGACGTTGAGATTTTGAAACAGAAGCAACATAATAGCAGTGATAATCTTGTTATGGCATCAAACCAAAGTAAACATCCGACTGTGACTGAGAATCAGGATGTTTCAGAAGCTCAAGAGGTTAAATCTTGTGATGACATGACAAATAAGGATTCGAAACGTGCAACGACTTCATGCAATTCAACAAGTTTTCTGTTTCAACAAGAAATGAAGATGGAAATGAAAGAAAGCAATGTTGGTAATGGTCAATGGTTGATTCCTGATTCCTCGTATGATTCCTGGAGCGACGTAGAAATGGCGAGTCTTCTCCTTGGATTATACATTTTTGGTAAGAACCTCATTGAAGTGAAGAAATTTGTTGGAACTAAACAGATGGGTGATATTCTTTCATTCTATTATGGGAAATTTTATGGATCCGAGAAATACCGTAGATGGACGGTATGTCGTAAAGCAAGAGGCAAGAAATGTATATGTGGACAGAAGTTATTTAGTGGCTGGAGGCAGCAGGAATTGTCATCTCGTTTGTTGTCCTCATTGTCAGAGGAAAAGCAAAATATCCTAGTGGAGGTAAGTTAATATACTCTGATTTTGTAGCACAAAAGAATCGATATACACATTTCTATTTCAATCTTACAAATGATTTATATACTCTTGGCCTCAATAACTTATTCACTATTGTGAAGTATGTGGTGCTAATAGACTTTCTTTAACATTTGACTTCTGCTACTCTCCCTATCGGTCTCTTAGCTTTGCTCCTCTCCCTTACTTTACAGTCGTCCCGAACGAACTCAATTGAACAATATATGTGGGACAGAGACGTAAGAAAAATGTCCTGTCAAACGAGTGGCTTTGTCTTGCATTTTTTACTTTATTCCTATATTACTGATAGCTTATGTTAGTGTAAAATAGACGTTTCTTTGTTGTTAATGTAGTCTTGACCTGCTTGGAAATTTTCAGCAGACGCCTGAAATTTTATAGTTAGATGTATTTTGTTTCCCTAGATCTCAAGTTTTGATGCATTGACAGGTTTGTAGGGGATTTATTGAGGGTAAAGTACGGCTGGAGGAATATGTATTCTCTTTGAAAGCTACAGTTGGGTTGAATGCCTTTGTAGAGGCTGTTGGAATTGGTAAAGGAAAACAAGATCTTACCAGCACTGCCATGGATCCAGTTAAGTCTAATCATGCTCATTCAGCCCGGCCAGAAATACCAATTGGCAAAGCATGTTCCACACTTACACCTGTTGAAATTGTCAAATTTCTGACAGGAGATTTCAGGTTGAGCAAAGCCCGATCAAGTGACCTCTTTTGGGAGGCTGTTTGGCCTCGTTTGTTAGCAAAAGGATGGCATTCTGAGCAGGCTAACAATTACGGTACTGTCGGTTTAAAGCACAGTTTGGTGTTTCTGATCCCTGGTGTGAAAAAATTTTGCAGACGAAAACAAGTTAAGGGAGAACATTATTATGACGCCATTAGTGACGTCCTGAGTAAGGTTGCTTCCAACCCTGTGCTTCTCGACCTCGACATTGTCGACAAAAACTGCAGCGACAAGGAAGAGAGCGAGTCGTCTGGTCAGCAGCATTATTGTTATCTTAAGCCACGAACGCCCGTTCATAGTACAAATACAATGAAATTTATGGTTGTTGATACAAGTTCGGCTGATGGAAGCACATTCAAAGTTCGAGAACTACGAAGTTTGCCAATTGAAATCATAAATACCTATGTTTCCAAGAGTCAGTCTGAAGATGATGAACAAATTTCTTCAGAGATTTCAATGGATGATACTCAATCTGATAACACCATGCATTTTAATAAGGAAGTAAGCGACATTTCCAAAGGCACAAGAATCAGCTTGGATGAAAAAGTTCATATTGATGAGGAAACTTGTGTAGGTAATTCTTCAAACAAGGTGTCTTCAAATGATAGCCAACAAAGAGAGGCTGTTCTGCACCAAATGAGTCAGGGAAAGCCAAATTCCGCAAGTTGGGAACTAAACACTTGCGGTCAACAAGTAAGCTGCAATCTAATTAAAATATTCACAGATCCTGAGCTAAAAGAGGAACACAGTTCATCTGATCATTATGATTTAAGCCGCAATATTCTCCTTCAAGTTGATAATCTACCCCTGTCTTCTTTATCCAAGAGAAGTACAGTTATTAGTTATGTGGATGATCCTACTGTTGTTGAAGCTCCACGAAGTAGACATGTACCTCGTACTTTGATTGATCTTAATTTGCCTATTCCTCAAGATTCCGACAGCCATGGAAGCTCCACCATGGAAGTAAAAGGACAGAAAACTAGACCAAACAAGTGTTCGGAAAGCCTCGATATTTCAGAACGTGACTCGTCCATGATTTCTCGAAGACAAAGTAATCGAAACCGACCTCCAACCACTAGAGCTTTGGAAGCTCATGCTTTAGGACTGTTGGATGTAAAACAGAAGCGAAAGAGTAAGGATGTCTTTCTTGAGGAGAATTATATGTTGGGGACTTCTTCCCAGCACGCTCATGCAGCAAAGGTGAGACACCTAGATAAGTTTGGAAATGGCATTGTGGATTTCAAACTAGAGGACAGGGAAAGTAGTGTTTGCAATGACAATACTAACATGTTCCATAAGCTGGAAGTTTAATCTGACAAAGAAGTATCCATACAAGGCTTACTTTCTCACAAGAACAAATGATACTTCGTAACCGTGTTCGGTCCGTTTGACACTAATCTATTGAAGCCTCGTGGTGAGCCGAGTCACCTTGCAACTCCCATGGCTGTCGTCTGCTCATCCTGTGGAAATTCAGATACTAAGCCTCTTTACCATATGAACTTGAATTAGTTGCATCTCATCAGTTCGAATCTCGGTCGATATGTCTCTTCGATCGCTCCGTTCTCAAACTCCCTTATGTTTTGCACCTGTATAGTGTCCAGTATTGAAAGTAGAACTTGTCTCATGAGTAATGGCTTCATCTTCCACCCTCAGAAATAAAGCTGACCCTTGTTCTAGCTCATCAATCCGTCTACGACGAATGTAAATACAAAAGAAAACGTCGGTCGGGTCGGGACAAAGATCTCTAATGGCTGACTGACACGAGACTAGAATCAACAGCAGAAGGTTGCTGTATCTGTTCCTGTTCAGAGCATACAGATACCAGAAGCTAAGTTGCCAATACTGCAGGTACCAAATTCTTATCCTTTTACCTCTGGAATGGAAGATGGGTAACGTTATATATTTATTTGTGTTTGAAAAAACAAAAGATTTAGACAAAGAAACAAACATAAATGTGGATTAACTTAGACGCAACTACTAATGTTAAACTGTTGGATTTTGTTTGATTTTGATTGGTTTGTTGAGTTTTTATTTTATTTTATTTATTATTATTATTTTTTTATTTTATAATAATGAATTGTTGGTGACTGAATTAATTAGATATTAATTGAGATTAATAATTTTTGTATAATATTTATTTATACATTTTTTTTTATTTCGTTGAGATATTTGTTGGTATGAATCATAATTATGAGTAAGAACTTTAGGTGGGAAGACCAAGTCTCTTCCATTTCATATTTATTTTTTAAATTTAATGCATTTTTTTTAAAATCATGATGACATTTTCAAAATTGAAAAAAAAAAATGATAATTATTTGATTTTTAATTTTTTAAAATTAATGTTATGAACACCTTTTATTTATTTCAAAATTGAAGTCAAAATTAAAATTAAAATTTGTTTTTGTTTTTGTATTTTGGCTAATAGTTTATTTTTTTTTAAATGATATTTTTTTTATATAGTTTTTAAAATGTCTTAGATTTCAAGAACTAAAAAAAAAAAATTAAATACTTATTTAACAAGACATATATATTTACATACACGTTATACGCAGATCATATATTTGACTTTTAACGTTTAAAAATTGTGATTTATAATTTCTTTTTTTCAAAACTTAAATCTAAATGTTAGAAAATGCACGCTCATTGTATAAATAATATGAAATCGAATTAATAGTATAATATTTCATTAGCCAAAGTCCTAATAATGACATTTACCTAATTTTGATAATAACGTACTCATCTCATCTATTTACTATGATTACCTAGAAATATAAAATAATATATATATATATATATATATTTTAAGAAAAAGGAAAAAAAAACAAAATAAAATAGGTAGAATCCAATTTTCTTTAATAAGTTATTTAATTTAAAAAATTAAAAATTAAAAAAAAAAAAAAAAAAAAAAAGGGCGATTTTCGAAGAACCATCCGAGGGTTGAAATCACCGCTTCATCCATTGACCTAAAGAGTCTTCAATCCTTCATCAAATTCATCTTCGCCCCTCAGTTTGCCACGTCTTTCCGCCGATCTTTCTCAACCTCCCCGTTCCCCGATCTTCGATTCTCTCTCAATTTCCTTTCAAAAAGATCTCCCAAGATGGAAAGATCCATGGAGATCAAGGTCGTCTCCGCCGGAGACCTCAACAACGTCAATCTCCTCACCAAAATGGACGTCTACGCCGTCGTCAAGCTCCTCACCGCCGACGCCTCCGGCAAGTTCATCCCCAAATCCGCCCAGAAATTCAAAACTCCCGTTGACAAAGAAGGCGGCAGCCACCCGATATGGAATTTCTCTGTGAAATTCGCGATCGATGAGGCCGCCGCTAGGGCAAACCGTCTCACCCTAGTTTTCAAGCTTCGATGTCAACGGAATCTCGGCGATAGAGATATCGGCGAGGTCTACGTTCCGGTGAAGGAGCTTCTAGATTCCACCGGTGACGGCAAAGGCGATTCGATGCAACATCTTAGTTATCAGGTGAGGAAACCGTCTGGAAATCCCCAGGGGGTCTTGAATTTCGCTTTTAAATTTGGGGATAATCTGTCCTTTGGTCCAATTAAACCGGATTCTGTTCAAACATCCAACCCGGTTTCCGCCGCCTACCCACCAGAGTCGAGTTCGCTCGCCGTCGCTCACGGTGGGGCTCATCCTCTACCGCCGACGCCTCCTCCTCAACCGGAACCTTATCGTCCGCCCTCAAATTTGTACCCGGTCCTTCCGCCGCAGGAGGCGTTGCCGCAGATTGGATATAGTGCATACCCACAACCGCCGGCGACAGGATACAGAACATACTCGCCGGCAACATCGTACGACTTATACGTGCAGGCACCAACCTACAGCGTGTACGCGCCGGCGCCGTTTCAACAACCAGTGTATGCATACAATCAACCACCGCCGCCACCGGCCGCATATGGATACCAACCGCCGCCAACGTTCGGATATCCGGCAGCCCCGTCATATTATCCACCGCCGCCGACGAACAAGAATAACAACAGGGGATTAGGATTAGGAGCTGGATTGGTCGGAGGGATGTTGGGAGGGATTTTGATCGGAGATATGGTGTCGGACGCCGCCGACGGCGGATTCGGTGATTCCGGTGGATTTGACTTTTGAATAAAATCACGTCATTCTATGCTTCATTTTGATACCTCCAAGAATGCTTCCCATTTTGGTTTGTAGAAAATTCAACTCCTTGACTTTCAAATATCAAGAACATGAATTTGTGACTTTTTTTTTTTTTTTTTTTTTTTTTTCTCCT